TATGTTAAAAATACTGACCTTAAGAATCATCCCATTAGGAGTTCGAACAAAGTTTCGAAACTCACGGTCCTGAGTGCTAGCTCCTACAGTTATGATCCAAGGTGCAGCGTTTACAACAGTTCCAGGGAGTGGCCCTGCGTTTCCAGCAGAAGCTACCACAGTAATACCATTCTTGACAGCATGAAATGCTCCAACGGCAACTGAATCGGAAAAGTATTCTATGTTTGGAGAGTTTGCACCAAGCGAGACTGATATGATATCAGCCCCGTCATGAATGGCCATATCAAAGCCTGCCAGGATATCAGAATCGTAGCACCCTGAGCTCGGCCAACAGACCTTATAAGTAGCCACTCGTGCATGGGGAGAACCGCCTTTGGCAGTTCCAGTGACATTGCCTAGACTGGCTCCAATGACAAAATTACCTCCGGCTGTAGACAATGTATGAGAACCGTGGCCGCTATCATCACGAGGAGAGTTATATGTATGGTCTAAGATACCACCAACTGCGGCAAGATAGCCTTTGTTGAAGTATCTTGCTCCAATCACCTTTCTGCAAAAATCATCAATTAATACAATCAAACACATAATTCCACCATATAAGCTGATCTCTGCATATATGCGGAACTGACCTGTTACAATGAACATCATCGGCAATACGATTTGTCTCACATGTGCCTTTCCACCTTGATGGAACAGGTCCCATCCCGTGGTCACTGAAGCTTCTAGATTCAGGCCAAACACCTATATGTATTGCAACCACATTCAAATTAATCAGACATGAAACCATATGCATGCAATGCGAATAAGAATAGGTATCACTCAATTAACTTACCAGTATCAAGATTTGCTATGATTACGTCTTTACCAAATTCACCTCTCTTCCAAGCTGAAAAGAATGGGATCATTCCATAATTATTTTCCAAAGACATAAAATGCCAGGAATTTGTTGTGTGTAACTGTCTTGGCTGGTCTGGGAAAACGGACACCACTTTTGGATGCTCTACATCACAAGCAAAACTCAAATTAGATAGTTGGACTGAAATAAGAGAAGTTATATAAAAAAGAAATGAGGGGGTGGATCCACACTTGCGATCTGAGCAGCCTCCTCCTCGTCGAGGATGGCTGAAAAACCATTGATGTGCCTGACGTATGAGTAGAGTATGACATCCTGGGCCTTCTCAATACTGCATGGACCAAAAGCATTCGCATTTTGAAGAATTAGAAAACAGAGAAACAGGGACGAACGTTTAGTATTAGCAAATTAAAAGGGTATACGTACCTCCCCACGAATGATGCAAGGAATTCATGATGAGAGTCCGTGACACGATGAAGATCAGCTTCTAGTACGTCCGGACCGTGCGAGTGGGATCCCAAGTACACTATATACGACTTTAATTCGTTTTGACCAAAAGTAAAACAGAGAAAGTTAGTAAAAAAATATATTAATATCAATTTGGAAACCAAAAGGGAAAGAAATAATGTTAGATTCTGTTCTTGTACCTTTTTGATAGCAAAAGCAGGAGCTAAGAACGAGGAAATAAGAATGGAAGACAGGAAAAGCAGTACGAACTTGGGAAACTCCATTTGTGAAATTTTCGAGGTGTGGATTCTGCTTTCCCTAGTTCTGAGTTGTGTTATATATGTAGAATTTGAAGCCATGAAATAGAAACCTAGTTGGAGTTGATCATGTTAAGAGATCTTAGATTAAGAGATAAAGATATTTTCGCAGTGTTGATTAGAGATGGACATGATATCAATGACTAAATTTAGTGATTTGGTTAATTATCGTAGGAGATGTTTTATTTATTATTTAGTCATTATGATGAATTGTACGTAGAGTTTACAATTTATACAAAGTCTACTTATGTAATTAGTTTAATCATATTAGAGAATTAGAGTTTACGAATTGAAACATTGTAGAGTTTTTATCATAAACAAATCCAATCCCCAATAAACCGAAAAGAACTAAAACTGGATAAGGGGAATAAATAAAGGCAGAGTCCAATCTAATTAAGACGAATGCTGGAACTGGAATTACCTATCAGATTTATTAGAGAGCTCCCCCCTTTTTCTGTGGATTTAGAGTACACAAAAAAAAAAAAAAAAAAAAAAACGGTGGAAGTTGTGAAAGTACTTATAGGTTCTAAAGGAATCTTTTTCCCAAATATTCCATCAAAAACAATTCTTTTTCATATGCTGATTTTGCTAATTTTTTTTATATTAATCTTTTGATATTTAAAAATCACTTTAAATCTTAATCAATCGGAATTGAACCATATCAAACCTTATATAAAGGAATCAAATTTTTTTTACTTTTACCAATAAATCATTGGTGCTGATTTTGTTAATTTATTAAGAGTATGTGGTTAATTTCATGATCCAGAGTGTACCCTTTTTTCATCTAAACTAAATAAACGGACTCACAATTAAAATTAAAATTAAGTTACAAAAATTGATTGATTATTTAATGAACCGGACCAATTTGAGTCATTGTTCTCCCAAGATCAGTCCATGACCAATCTTATATTCCTTGGTCTCAGTCCAGCCCTCTAGCCCGGAATCATTAGTTGGTCCTTGTCTTTGGGCTGGCCAGTTCTCTATCCTTGTACCCTATGTTAACCCTGTTTCCAGAAAATGAGGTGATTTATTACCTGCCGTTAACAGGGACGTATCCTTTCTTCATCAACTTTGGGAGCATATAAGGAGGACACTGCATCCTGCTAAACCAAAAAAGGATTGATTTAGCAAGGGAGGAGTATATTTAGCCAACCAGGGGATAATGAGCGGATGAGTCTAGTGATTGTCACCCAAAAAGCAGAAGGCCCCCGATTCTACATCCATCCCATAAGCTTATCTTATAATGTTATGCCACAAAAATCATAACTGACTATATTTTCTCGCTAAAGTGTACGAATCTGTAATCAATTGCTTATTTGAAGACATATGGTTCTGTGAAACTCGTCGCAATATAAGATTGTTTCATCTTAATTAACAAAAAAGAAGAGGGGTTCATTGTTTAGTTACCAATTATCAGCACTAATAACTAGATGACTTAATTTAAAGAAAGGGAAGTAGCAAGTGACTTAGCCAACGCATTGTGCACCTACTGGCCTTGTCCTATTCACTGATGGTGCCTATTGAACGGGATGAAAGGATTTATTTAATTACTTAAAAGGAAGGGAAACTGAAGGAATCGTCTTCACCAGGGACAGAAAATCCAAAGTCTGCTACCTGTAAAACCCAGGCAGCTTTGGCACTATTTGGTGGAACCATATGGTGGAACCATATTTGACAGAATGGCCTTTTTTCGCCGCCTTGTCCACCACATCTCTAACTCATCTCCATGGACTTTTCTTTTGTCAGTCTCATTTTCCTTTTCTTCTTTCCCCAACTCTATAAAATCCTCATTTCCCTACTAATTTTTTCGCTTCCAATCAAGGCCAACAAGCTTTCTCACGGGGTTCAACATGCTTATATGTGTTTCAATAGCCTAGTCATGGACTCATGGCCTCCGATATTGAGCTGCAACTGTAAGTAATTTCTCTAACCTCGCTATCTTTTTCGCCTTGTACGGTGTATATATCATTGATGGCTAAGATTTCACCTATAAATCAATCTCTGTTGTTCTAGCTCAAGTTGTACTAAGATATCCTAATAAATATGATTGATTAATGATTAGAAAACCCGATCAGGGCGTGAGGGGGATTAATTACTACTTCTAAAACAGCTTACCTTATATGATTTTCTTTATTAAGTTTCAAATCATGGAAAGCATACATGTGTGCTTTGATGATTTTCATGAACTGTGCAGGTAACTAGAGAGAATTAAGCAACGTAGTTGGGTGATTGATCATGTATATATGGTGTGGACTTGATATTGTTCTGCCTGGCTCCCTGAATGCCATATAAGAAGCTTGTCAAAAGAGAGTTAGCAGCCTTCTTACCTGGCATGAGGGGAGTCATGCAGGCCCAAACAAATCCCACATCATGCACATATATTTGAATCAATCCCATATACATCAGCTCTACTGCATTCCTTGAATTTTGGTAGAGACTAAAGTTTCGTTCGAGAATGTTGTGCTGTAATTGCTAAACCAAAAACTCAAAGATTGTGCATGTGGGTACAGGAGTTAATCATGCAATGCTTATTAGTTTTTGGCGGAATTTTTGTTGTCAGATTGGCAAATTTTGTGCTTATTTTTCAAATCCATATGTTAATATCAGGTTCCAGCCCTCGCAGTAAATTAATATTTTCCTGTTCAAATGCAATGCAAGGTTAAATTTACAAGAAAAAAAAACCTAATACAGAATAATTAGTATAACAAAAAGGGTGAAAAGAAAGAGGCAGATTATTGTACTTGTCAAATGGATTATCACGGACAGATACGTACCTATGATCTATCATTTTTAGAAGAATAGACCGGTGACAGGAGACCAATTTCGACTTGGAAACCTATATATGAATATATCTATATAACCACCACCTAACAATTGTGTGGGGGCACCTCCGTTGCTTGGGTTGCTCCCCCACCACACGAGAATGAGTAAGGATACGGGGAACGATTTTGGGGTATAAAATCCGAGACGATAAATGAAGCAATCTCAATAATAATTATCAATTTAACCCTGTTTCACTTGTGTTCTTGTGATTTTATCATTTAAAATCATCCTGCGTTATCATTACTCCACGATAATAGAATAAATTTTGTCAGGAGACCAATTTTAACTTGGGAAACGTATTACGTAAAACCACCAAATAAACCCGAGCAATATTCCTAAAAAAGTAAAAAAAACCCCAGCAAGAACATATTTGGTTAAATTTATAAGTGTTTTAGGTTTTTTATTTATTTATTTATATATTATAAGTTTAATTTTTTTAAAAAAATTTATATTATTTTTTTCATTTTAAAAAAATTAAATAGTAAATTTTAAAAAATTTTAAATTTATGTTTTTTATAATTTTTTTACTTATTTTTTATTTATTTTTTTATTTTTACAAATAACTTTAAAATTTTTTCTTTAATAAAAATTTAAACTTATCACTAATAACTAGTATAAAAAAGAGTAAAACTTCTTACAAGTTTCACTAAATATGCTCTAAATTAGGTAAAAACTTACATTTAACTCTTACCTTAATAAATTTATAAGTTTTAACATCTTACTTTATATTATAACACTTTTAACTTTTTATTTTAATAAATTTATAGGTTTTAACCTCTCACTTTATACTATAACACTTTTAACCCCCTTATTTATATAAATTGAAAAAAATAACTCTTACTTAAGGTCAAGTTATAACGTTATGTTAATTGACTGTTAGTTTTATTAATTGATTGTTAATATTTATTAACATTTTGTTATAGAAAATATGAAATTTAAATTTAATTTTATTTGTTAGTTTCGTTAACAGAATATTAACAAAACACTAATAATCAACTAATAAAATTAATAATCAGTTAATATAACTAACAGAATGTTTATAAATTAACCTTAAGTAAGAATTATTTTTTTAACTCGTATATATAAGAAATTAAAAGTATCATAATATAAAATATGAAATAAAATTTATAAATTTATTAATATAAAAAATTAAAAATATTATAATATAAATTAAAGAGTTAAATCCGACGTGCTAATTAAGGTGAAAAGATAAAAGTAGATTTTAACGAAATGTTGTGGGAACCTCCGCCGCCTGGAAGGGTTGGCCCCACTATACCTGTTCCTGGTCTGTGGGTTTGCAACTCCGGTGGCGAGATTAATTTTGTTTTTAATAAAAGTTTTTTAAATTAAGTTTTGTATTTTTTTCTTAGAATAATCTTAAATACGCCTTCTAGCATTAAATAGTGCATTCAAAAATGTAATTTTTTCATACACTAATTTTAAAATTTAAA